CCAGAATCACCCAGCAGCGGCAAACGCCGGCACGGGTGAAATGGCGGGGTGAGGGTCAGGGAGCCCTTGCCGGTACTGCTGGCGGGGATATGGTGCAGCCCCGCAGTGACATGTCTGCGGGCAGAACCCGAGCGGCCGGCGGCAAGCACCGAGGCGGGATTAGGAGCAAACTCTTTTCGGGAAGGCGCCTGTTTTGTATTATTGTCCGTGAGGGTTAGGTCGTGGGTGGGTTTGGCTCCATCTCGGGATCAGTAGATCCTTGTCGTTGCTGCTTTTTTTTTTTTTTTTAATAAAGGCCCAAACTTTGCAAACCGCTCCATGCGGATATCTTGTTTCCCGGTCACGTGTGCCGATAGGCGCGGGGCTGGAGTGCGGTTTGTAAAGGGCTTCGGGATGTTTTGGGATGAGAAGGGGCTTTTTGCAAACCCTGGGCTGGGAGAGAAGATAGAAAAACTGGGGTTTATTATCAGTTATTGCAGCGTTTAGGGTCTCTTACAGGGTGGACTTTGTGGTCCAGGTTGCTGGGTTGCTGCTCCGTGGCATGGTGGTCTGTGGCAGGAGTTAGGCGGGATTTGTGGGAACCTACCAGCATTTATTCCTAAAAAAAATGGGGGGAAATGGGGTGTGCTGTAATTGTACGTTCTCTGGGGAGGGGATTTGTGCCGGTGGTCCTGGTTTGCGCAGCACCGTGGGTGCAGGAGCTGCCTTTCTCCCGGCAAACCCCAGACAAACAGCAGCCGGGGTGAGCACTGGAGCACCCTCCCTGCTTTGCCATGGCCCCCCGACCTTCCCTGCTTGCTAAACGAAGTGTTCCTCATTTGCGAAACGAGGCTCCTGCTTTCCCAAACCTCCACCCGGGCTTTGCTCTGCCGGCAGCAGCGACAGCGCTGGTAGGCACAAGGGCTGACGTTTTTCCCCGGCGAGAGCTGGAAAAACGCCGTCCAAAATACACGCCCGGCATTGAAGCAAGAAATAATTTGGGATCTGTGCCGGCTCTGACCCCTGCGGCGCGTGATTGCTAACAGCTGGGAGGGCTCGCGGCGGCAGCGTGGCCTCCCAGCTCCGCCTGCACTGCTGACGCCCTCCCAGCTCTTGCTCCTCTTCTTGCTTTGTGTTTTGGGGCACTGCGGGGGAAGGATTTTTTTCGGCGTTGGCATGTCACCCTCGGCTATGGGCTGAGCGCCGAAATGGGATCCGGCATTCAAAAGTCTGCTGGAAGCAGATGTGACTTCGAAAACTGGCTTTTGGGAGGGTTTTCCTTCCCCCGGTTGTAAGCGTGCCTCTCTCCTCCTTCCCGCTCCCCCCCCGCCCCGGACCAGAGGGGGAAGGAAAGGGAAGGCGAAACGAAACCCCAAAGGAAATGAGAAGCAGCCTCCCACCTTTGGCGCTGCCCTCCCCGCACCTGGCCGCCAGCCAAGCGCTGCCTTGAAACCGGCGTGCGCCGACCGTCGGGGAGGCGGCGGAGATTCGGTGCCGTTTTCTATGCGGTGGCTGCGCC